GCCCCCGGCTGTGCTGGGGCACCGCGAGTGCGGAGCTGAGATAGAGGAGGCCCCTGCCCTTCTCCTCCGCCTCCGCCTCCTCCTCCTCCTGCCCCCATTATCCTCTTACTTCTTCCCTTTGGCCTTCTCAACCTCTTCCCGTTTGCCTTCTCCTCCTCTTCCTCCTCCTCCTCCTCATCAATTTTTGCCTCCTCCTCCTCCTCCTCATCATCCTTGTACTCTGCCGCTTCACCACCCCTTTTGCCACCCTCTTCTGCGAACATACATGGCGCTCCTCCGTGTCCTCTCCCCCTTTGCCTTCCTCCTCCTCCTCCTCCTCCTCCTCTCCCTCGCCGTCGTCGTCCTCCTCCTAAGCCGTATCCTCCCCCTCCCCGTTCGACTCTTCCCCCGTCTCGTCCTCCTTTTCCTCCCCTCCCTCCCAGAGCCTCCACGAGCTCCTAATTCGCCCAGGGCCATGCTAATCCCTGCCAATAATCGCAACCCCTCTGGGAATCCCCCCCCCTCCATCTCATCTCAAAGGTCTCCTGCTGCTGCTGCTGCTGCTCTTTCATGTAAAGACGGAAGAAACAAAGAGACGAACGCGTCTTGCACGAACGACTCGAGGATCCCCGGGCGCTCCAGAGCGCTCCCGGAAAGATCACGGACGAGCTGTTCGGACCCCGAGGATGCCCGACCCAGAGGTCCCATGACCGATGGCCCGATCTGGGATGAAGGAAGCGGATCGCGAGGGAAAGGGATCCTCGACCCCAGGGCTTTCTCCCGAGACCAGTCCTTCCTCCCGAATCGCTCTCTGAAGGGGCCCGTGGAGGGCCCCATGAAGCGAACAAAAATTCTGTCGGGCGTGTCCCCCTACAGGGGGATTGTCGACGAAAAGTCAAACATGCCCAAACAATACTCCCAAAAGGCCAAACAATACGCAAAAAATAGTCCCCCGACTATTTTTGGACTATTTGTTGCACATATATAGATGTATATATAAATATGTTTATACATTTTTTTCTCATACGCACCTCTCCGAGGGAGTAGAGCTCAGAGGCGATTAATGCGCACGCGTCCGCGAATTTTCTGGGCGTTTCGCTCGGGACATCCTCGAACTTCTGAAAATCGGTGGCACCCCTCACGCAGATCGCGACGTCAGGGTCCAAAAACACATAGGAAATTCAACATTTTAACATAAAACCTTCAAAAACACATGGTAATTTCAATAAGTGTGACCCCGATTCTCAGTGAATGGCGGTTTCGCTTGAAAAATCATTCCAAAATCGAGCCCCAGACCCCGCCTCGGAGCCTCCTGGGGGCCTCCTGGAACCTCCTGGGGCCTCCTGGGCCCTTCTGAACCTTCTGGCACCCCAGACCCCGCCTCGGAGCCTCCTGGGGGTGTCCTGAAACCTCCTGGGGCCTCCTGGGGCCTCCTGCGGCCTCCTGGAGCCTCTTGGGGCCTCCTGAAGCCTCCTGGGGTCTCCTGGGGCCTCCTGAGGCCGCCTGGGGCCTCCTGGGGCCTCCTGGGGCTTCAGAACTACATGCGCACAGAGACACACATCACGCCCAACACATCACACGCTAGACAAACATAACACACACAACACCTACAACACACAAAAAGCACGCACCACACGAAGCATACATCACAAACACACACACACATGCACAACACTCACAATCCTGGGGCCTCCTGGAGCCTCTTCTGGTATCCAAGTCGGGCCTCCTAAGGCTTCCTGGGGGCCCTGGTACACACATCGCAAGGTGTGGCAACCCCACTTGCGCTCGAGTGCGACTTCGATGTTGCATTTCACTCCTGCTTCAAACGCCCCTTCAGTTCTTTGTATGAGCCTGGGCACACACGTGCCACTTGTTAAAACTATTGTTCGTCGAATATCCCCCTGTAGGGGGATAAGGCCGACTTAAAACAGAAACAACAACTCGGGACCCGATGCCCTCAGGACCCGCTTCGTTCCTGGCGGCCGAAGGCCTCGAGCTCCCGAAGGCCTCGCCGGGCGGCCCGCCGCCGGACGGCCTCTCTGGCCCTGGGCGGCTGTGGGCGCTCGAGACACCCTCGGAGAAAGACCTGGGAGCCCCAAGCCCCTCGCTCGCCCCGAGGCCTGGCACGACCTCCTCCTCCTCCTCCTCCACCTCCTCCTCCTGTAGTCATACCACGAAATGTTCTTAGAACCCAACAACGTTCTAAGAACGCAAACCATGTTCTTAGAACATCAGCCCGATGTGTGAAACCAAGACCGTCCTAGCCAGAACTGTTCTAAGGCCATTTCGTGGGAACCACAAACAAATTCTTAGAACATTGTGTGGTGGGGCCATCGGCGAGCCGGGACGCTTCGCCACTGCTTGAATCCTACAGGACTCGGGAGCGGCCAAGAGGGGGGTGTCCAAGAGGGGGGGTGCAAATCATGACCGGCGGCATGTGCGCGGCCCAGCGGGGGGGCCAGGGACGTAATGAAACAAGAAGAGGCGCCATAAAATCTGGGGAAATATCATGGCCCCCGCCATGATATCCACCCCCCCTAGTCATCACCCCCCTCTTTTCCGCTCCCGAAGGACACGGGCGTCCTGCATCCCGGGGCTTCCGCCGGGGCCAGCTTCTGGCTCCGAGGCCCGCGATCGGCTCTGGGCGACCCCCGGGGCGTCGGAAGCCCCCGAGCGGCTGTGGGCGACCCCCGGGGCCCGGGGGAGGGGCCACAGCGGAGCACCCAAGGCGGGGGAAGCTCGGGACCGCCGCAGGGCCACAGCGTGCTCCCATTTTCCCCATGTGGCGAGCCCTGGATCACCTCCACTTCGCCGGGTGGCAGGGAGTAGGAGGGAGGAGGAGGGAGGAGGAGGGAGGAGGAGGGGGAGGAGGAGGAGAGGAGGAGGGAGGAGGAGGAGGGAGGAGGAGGGAGGAGGGAGGAGGAGGAGGGAGGAGGGAGGAGGAGGGAGGAGGGAGGAGGGAGGAGGGAGGAGGGAGGAGGGCGGAGGGAGGAGGGAGGAGGGAGGAGGGAGGAGGAGGAGGAGGAGGAGGAGGAGGAGGAGGAGGAGGAGGAGGAGGAGGAGGAGGAGGAGGGTGGTCACCGGAGCCGTCTCGGGATCTTCGGCGGACAAGGCTGGAGGCGGCTGGGGGGCCTGAGCTGGGTAAAAGCCCAGAGACCATCGGCCCAGAGGGGGGGTCGAAGGCAGCTTCGCTCGAGATCGCTCCCCAGACACCTTCCAGGGGTCGAAGCTGGCCTTAAGTCGGGCCTGTCCCCCTACAGGGGGATTTGGGCGAAAAATGGAGAAAACTTTTTAAACAATACATCCCAAATGCTCAAATTTAGTAAGAAACTAATCCCCAGACTATTGTTCTACTATTTTTGAATATTCCCCCTGTAGAGGGACAGGCCCGACTTAAAACTGGCCAGATCTTCCAGCGGAGTCCAGCCGTGGCAACGAGGGGGCCCCCCTGCCTCCCCGCCCTGCGGGCTGGAGCCTAGTGCTGGGCCACCTCGGCCCCCCAGCCGGCGCACACGACGAGGGCCCAGGCGTTCAATTTTTTTTGTTGGGGGGGGAGGAGGAGGAGGAGGACGCGGCCACAACATGTCCCCACTTCGCGGCAGGCAGCGCCGAGCGACAACAAAAAGGTTCGCCAAACAGACTGGGAACGCCACAAGAGCCGACCTGCAATAGGCAAGCTCATGTAGTGAACAGTAGTCTGAAGAGGGCCCAGGCGCTCAATTGTCCGGGGTGTCCTCGGTGAAGCCGTGCAGCAGGGCGTCCCTCTCGTACAGCTCCGTCTCCTCGGGCTTGAAGGGGGCGTCTCTGGCGGGGGCCGAGAAGCCTGGGCAGCGAGGCGCCCCGGCGCTCCAGCGCGCCGAAAGACGAGGGGGAAGCTCTCGGAGATTGCCCGTGGCTCTCGCAGACTTCGCCGGTGCTCTGGGCTCTCGGTGGCTCTCGGGGCGTTGGGGCGGTGCTCGGACCTCGTGCCCTTGGGCTTGACTGGCGGCTTCTGGTGGGCCCTCGGTGGTTCTCGGGGCGCTCTGGGGCGGGGACTCTGGGGGGCACGACGCGGGAGGGCCAGGAGGTGGGGGGGCTGGGGAGGGGGGAGGGCAGGGAGGAGGAGGAGGAAGGAGGGAGGAGGAGGAGGAGGGAGGAGGGAGGAGGGAGCATGGGAGGACCGCGGGCCGGGGTTTTTGGGCAGGGGGGCCTCGAAACTTGGGCTGGTGGGACCTCTTTTGGGGCGCTCTCGTCGCCACCGGCCTGGCTTCGCCTCGACGAATTCTGGACAGAGAGCGCCCGAGAACACGCTCAGGGGGCAGCTCTGGGGAGAGGCGGCCCACCTGTGCTGCCAGGCGTCGCGCAACGAAAACACGACGGCCACGCACCGAGCGAATCAGCACTTCCAGGCGTCGCGAAAAAAAGCACGACGGCCACGCATCGAACGAATCACGACGTCGGTGGCCTGTGGAGGATCCAGGAGAGGGAGTTGGACGGAGCTCCGCAGGCGTCGTCGGGAGCTCTGGGGGTCCGAGAGGGAAGGAGGATGAAGAGAGCACGGCATGAGGGGGGATGACTTGGAGGGGAAAGGAAGTGGAAGACTCGTATGGGAGAAGGACAGATCCTGGAGAGCGAGCGCGTCGCCACACCGAATTCTCAGCCCCATCTGTCCCAGTGCGTGGCCTTACTGCAGGGCTCCCTCTGCAGGTACTGCTGACCGGAGCGGCCATGGCTCGGATTCAGGTTGGCGCTCAAGCACTCGTGACCGCTCGCAGAGCCGTGCCGTATGAGCCCAGTATCGTCGAAGAAGTACAACTGATTCAGGTTGTGGCCAGTGATGTTTGGCGGCGCGCAAAAGGGGGGTAGGGGGAGGGGGGACGGCTTCTTAGAAGCACCCCTGCTTCTTAGAAGGCCTCGGCCTTACGTCTACAGAGAAGGCCCGCGCCTTCCAAAAGAAGCAGGGGTGCTTCTAAGAAGCCTTCCCCCCTCCCCCTACCCCCCTCTGCGCGTTGCCGTGATGTCGCAGAAGTAGGGCAGAGGTCCGTCGCGGTCCAGGCGGTCGAAGCACTCCAGCGAGTTCCACAGGCGGATCCCAGAGCAGCACTTGTCGCCCCTCGCCGGGTCCCTGTTTGCCAGGTGGAAGAGCTGCGACCGTGCGTCGCAGGATGCCAGAACCATCTTATCGCCTTGCTTGCGGACGCACTTTCCGGTCTCGCGGCTGCGCAGCTTCCAGACCTCGCTGGGCAGCATGCCTCCGTCGCGGTAGATCTTGCGGAAACGGTGAAGCCAGAACGAGAACGGTTTACACTTCAGATCCGCTGGCAGGGGGGCGTGTGAGCCGAAGGCGTAGGGGGTCCTGCACAATGAAATAAGCAAACATGGGCGAGCAAAGACGTCCATTCAGAATCAATGTGCAACTACTTGCAACTGCATTCGTCCAGAACCTTTGTTGCTCGATGCCCTGGCCTGTATGCGCGCGCAGATCCGCCGTTGTTGAAAGGGTCCGAATCCCAGAGATCTAGGCGCTCCTGGGAGATCTCGCGCGCGCGCGCCACGCGTGACTTCCGCCGAAATCAATGTTTGCCATCGTGGACCCCAAGGAGTAGGTTCGCGCACTCTCAATCTGCAACGATGTGTTGCAATATACGTGGTGTAAGCAGTGTGGTGTCAGCAATGCGCCACGATATGTGCGGTGTAAGCTTTGTGGTGCAATAACAATGGAATAAGATCTCTGGTGTCAGCCATGTGTAGTATATCCAGTGCACGCTATGTGATGCAAGCAATGTGGTGCAGGCTAGGTGATGCAAGCTTTGTGGTCTAAGCTACGTGGTGTGAGATCTGCGATGCGATATCTCTGTCCTGTGTATGTATATATATATATAGATATAGATCCGCCACATTGCCGCTGGGCGCGGAGTGGGCGTGTCTTCAGGTCATTTCTTCCTCCGCGCAAAACCCGAATGTCGCCACGCACTCGCTCATGCGTGAAACGCGGATGCCGCCGCGCACTCGTGCCCGAAGCAAGGGCCCTGCCGTACCTTCAATAGTCTTTCGCCGTAACGGTCTGGACGGCCACGCGGGGGGAAGAGGAGGAGGAGAAGGAGGAGGAGGAGGAGGAGGAGGAGGAGGAGGAGGAGGAAGAAGAAGAAGAAGGACAACAGAAGGGGAAGAGAAGAGGAAGGTGCAGGCAAAAAGAGGCTTGGGGCTTACAGGCTTGGCTTGGGGCTTGAGGCGTGCCCTCGACCTCAGGTCCTTTGCCCAATCCTCTAAGCCCCAATCCTCTCCTGAGGAGTCTTTAAGGGGCCTGGAGCCCAAAGTGCCAAATTCATCGAGACTTGTCGCGGTTCCCCGCGGCTTGTCGCATGACTTGTTGAGGCCCGAGAGGGCTCCAAGACGGGCCAAGAGAGCCCCAAGAGACCCCCAAGATGGTGCAAGAGTGCTCCGTGTCGCCGACAGATCGCTCCAAGACGGCCTCAAGACGGTCCAAGAGGCCTCCAAGACATCCCCAGAGGCCTACAAGAGGCGCCTCCCAAGAGGCCCCCAAGAGACCACAATCATGTTTTTTTCCATTCGTTTTGAACGATTTTGGCGTTCTCGCCTTCTCGGCTTCCTGACGCTCCAAGACGGCCGACGAGGCCCCCAAGAGGGCCCCAAGAAGGCCCCAGAGGCATCCAAGAGGGCCCCAAGACGGCCCAAGAGGGCCCCAGGACGGCCAAAGAGGCGTCCCAAACGGCCTAAAGACAGTCCCAAGAGAGGGCCCAGATGGGGAACCCGAACGGACATTTCAGGAGGCCCCAAGAAGCCACCAAAAGGCCCGCAAGAGGCAAGAGGCCCCCACGAGGCCCCAAGAGACCCCCAAGAGGTCCCAAGAGGCCCCCAAGGGGCCCCCAAGAGGTTCCCACTAGGCACCCAAACTGCTCCCAAGATGCCCCCGAGAGCACTCCGAAGAGACCCGAATAATCATCCCTGAGAACTCTGACCCACGAACCGGACACGTGGCGGGATGGGCCGAAGGCCGTCATATATACTTGTACAAGTATCTGTGGTGTAAGCGCCTTTTCGGCTCTCCGACGGCTCAAGACGGCCCAAGAAGCCCCCAAGATCGCCCAAGAGGCCCCCAAGAGAGCCCCATGATGGCCCAAGTGGCCTCCAAGATGGCCCCTAGAGGGCCCCAAGAGGGCCCAAGAGGCCTCCAACACGCCCAAGATGGCCTCCAAGACGCCCAAGATGGCCTCCAAGACGGCCCTGGAGCATTCCAAGCGGGCCCCAAGTCGGCCCATAGAGGCCCCCCAAACGGCTTCCGACGGCTTCAGACGTGCCAGGAACCCACCAAGATGGCCGAAGTTGGCTCGAAGCTGGCCCGAGACGGCCCAAAAAGCCCCAAAGATCGCCCAAAGCTTGCCCAAGAGGCCTCCAAGACGGCCAAGATGACCTTCAAGATGCCCACGTGTTCCCCGAAGGCTTTCCAAACCGATTCGGGGAACACGTGGTCCGATAGCTTGGCAGGTCTGGCCTCAACGTTCGGCCACATAGGCGCTTCCA